AATAACATCAACTCATCGAACTTCTTTTCGCCTTAGGGCATCAATCCGAAAACCCTTTTTCAAGGTATAAAATCAACCAACAAACAACCATTTCACAAGCCGCCGAACTACGACTGCTCTGATTTCTCATACCTATTGAGAATACATAGGCATAGGATTGCGATGATCCTAGCGAGAACTCTTCTTTCTTTTCCACCTTTAGTCTTCCATTCCTCATCATCCAAAAAAAGGCATGTCACGTCCGTTCTACCGCAAACAGATAACGCATAAGACTCCACGAGCGAGCTGCAATACACCTAATTGCTAGAATGCGCACGATAACATCATTTATCCAAACTTCCCTTTTTTTCACCGTAGTCCCGTGAACTATGAATGCTTTGATTCTTCACTTCTTACAAGTGAATATACGTAGGCATAAGGGCCCTAATCCTTGGCGAGTACCCTAATAAAAAAACCAACCCTTTTTCCCTTTAGCAAGTAGACTTTTAGAATAGAACACCCATTCGAGCTAGACAACTTAGATGGTTCCCATCGAGTACAATGGATGTGAGGGGGCGCTAATACCTCCCCCTTGCATAACCGACTTCCGAACCCGAAACTTGGTTGCGATGACCATGTTCTTTCCCTAAAGGTTTTATCGTTATTTCCTTTTCCCTCTTTGGGATAAATAAAATTCGGTGGCGACTCTGTGTCATTTTTCGCATAGCGACACCTTTTTCTTTGCCTCTTTCTAAGACACATCTCCCAATACCTATCCCTCCCTTTTCCCAACAACAACATGTGCCTTCACTTTTCTCTGTGCGCTCCACCATTTCACCTAACCCACTTAACCCTTCACCAAATCCACACTCCAAACCACCTGCCCATGTGCAAGATTCCATGACCCCACTCTCAAAAGCTCTCTTACCAATACACGGTTTCCTTCATCCCCACGTGCATTGGCAATCTGAACCTCGAGGACAAGGTTCCTCTTGGGGTCGGGAGTATTATTAGACGACCTATTTTTAAGCCCAATAGGAAGACACAACAGCCCATGCGACTTAAGAATTATTATCAATACTAAATTGGGGGTGTATCACAATTTCTGGTTATTATTATTTTTCTGCGATTTAGTTGGTTTGTGTAAAAGTGGCTTAGGCCTATTTAACTTTCAAACCCTAAGTATTTAAATGTTTGTTTTAGAATTGTAATTTCTTAATGAATGAGAAAAGTTGTTTATTGTTTCTTCTTCCTTTACAACCATAGATCTAGTGTTAGCTAGTGTAGTCTATCAGATATTCTTCTATTTATAGACTAATCAATTGATATTTAATATAAGTGTTTATCAGGAAACGGATACTGAGATAAAAATTTGTGGAACCAAAGAAAACACATGAGAGAAAGTAAGTTCCTTAATAATATTATGTGGCTTTCATTCTGCATCAGCTACTTTGTAATACTTTGACTTGATTTTGTCAGAAAATAATAATTGTCTGTGTTTGCTTTGTATGTTCTATTTTCAGGGTGAAATTAAACCAAGTACTGTTGTCCAGTGCAGTTACAAAGAGATACATGTTAACAATGGGATTACTTGTGCAGTTTTTATGAGGTTGTGTTTATTTTTGGCAGATGTTTACCCAATTGCGCTTCACGTATGAACAAGAGATCCATCCATAGGAATTTTTTTATCTCATATGTACGACAACTCGTACTATCTCATTGGAATGGTTCTTTAGTCTTGACGCCACTATTACAAATTTATGGCCTTATTTCATTTCATTTTGCTTGTAAACTCTATATGCTTGCTCAGTCAGTATCAACCTTGGATAATTACGCATACCTTAGTTTCAACTCTGACTCGTAATCAACCATCAACAACACAACAAATACATCATACAATCCATCAATGACACAAATTCGACAACAACAATTGCAACATTGCATTATTATAACATCAGTTACACAAAAATCATCATGAATTACTCAATCCAACAATTACCAATTCATCGAAAATTATCAATAGAGAAAGGAAACACAAACTCCACATGGCATAATCTACCCACCATTATCATGTTAACCCTTATATAATTAAAATTCCACCCTTACCTTAGAGTTCTTGCAAAAGCTTATTCTTCCTCAACAATGAATTTTTCTCTTCCCTCTTGCCATAGCCTTTTCTTCTCACCGTCTCTTGTTTTCACAATCAGACAATTCTATCTCCCTAACTTACCTTTTTCTTATTATTATATTATTAATCAAACTAATTAAAATAATAACAATAATAATAATATTATTAAATATTTAATCCAAATAATTTTTTCCTAATGCCATTTAACTAAATAAATAATAACCAATATAAGTTAATTAGTTTCACTCTCAACACCACCCATCTCTACACAATTACTCACACACCCTCAAACACCTTAAAGTCTCTCTTAAGGTCACTATCCCAGACCAAGGTATCTCAAACACATCAAGGCACAACACAACCACAATTATCACATAATTAAAATACAGAAAAATAAATAAAATAGGTCGGGGCGTTACATGCTACACACAATAGTTAATGCTCCATAGCAGATAGCCATGTAGACACAATGTCGGTCATGCATGAACATCCAATTAGTAGTTAAGTTAGAATCATCAGATACAACTAACACACAAATCAACACACACAATTGAGGTCTAAATGTCATAGTTTCAACATGTGTGCATACACCAGGTAGGAACAAATTAAACTCAATCTATTCACACTACAACCACCAGCATGAATCGATTTCACACCATATAGTCAGTACAGTAGACATATCATACTATCCTATGCAATAAAAGAGTAAAGGCAACAACAATATGTCGAGACAAAACATCTCCAACATTTTTTCACACAAACCAATTCAGAGCAACTGGTACACAAATGATGGATGTAAAGTTTGTGACTTCTTTCGCAACAACCCTTGAGAAATACCATCATCCTCAATCTCCTACAAGCTTCCAACACAGTCTTCAACAACTGATCATCATTATGAAGCTCCATAAGCCTATTATACATCACTGTTATAACAAAAGATCTTTTGCATCCTTAAATGTAGTATTTTCTTCTTCAATTCCCCTTTTCCTTGGACACAATCTTGTCAATAGAGGGAACCTTGCTTCTGTCCACTCAATCAAAAGTTGGAGGTGAAAACTTCACATACTTTTCTTTATCATACACCTTTCTCCACTCATTGAACAATTTTTCACAACTAAGACCATCATTAATAACAGTCTTCATTAGCACATTAGCTTTGATGATTTTATTGCAATCAAAAGCTTTTTCACCTAACTCTCTCTCAACTATAGTCCATCTTAAAAGAACACGCTTCTACTTTTGAATATTTGTTTTAGAATAAAATGACACATTAACCATATAAAAAGAGGTGACAATCACACGAATTATCTTCTATCTAAACTTTCAACTCTAACAAAAACTTTAAATATTTTTTAATTACAAATAATAGTATAAGTTTTGTACTAGAATATATAATAATATATGTGAGCCGAGTATCATTATCTCTCAAGAAATGCAAATAAACCTTTAACTTTTAATACTTTGTCTTGAAATTTTTAAGATCTCATATTTCCAAAAATATTTTAAAACATAAAATTGAAAATATTTATACTTTTTAGTAATGTGAATTGACATACAATGAATTTAGTGGTCTTGAGACATGGCAAAATTAAATTTTACTTTTATAGCTTGCAATTTATTTTTTTGGTTATTTATTAATTAAAAAGTTATGTCACTATCATTGTAAATTTTTTAGAGGAATATTTTTCTTTATTAAATTATATAATTTTTTTAGAAATATGAGTCAAATTTCTATTAAAATATTTCTATTGCATTGTTTTTTTTCAATATCTTTAATGTTATTTATTATTTAAATAATTTTTGTTGTCATTTCTTTCTTTTAAAAATTTAATTTAAATAACTTTACAAGTTTTTATTTATAAAAGAATAATATTTTCTTTGGGGTGAAGAAATAATTAATCTACTCCACCATTTAAAAATTAAATGCAGAAATAATATTTTAAAAATTGTATATTATTTTAAATAAAAATAAAAAAATTTAAATTTTTATTAATGTTTCCGAAACAAATTTCCTATAAATGTATTTCTTAGAGCAACTTTAACGCAGGGTTGTTAAACCAAAATTCTTTATATCTTACGTTAGTAATAAGAAATTTGCATTACAGAAGAACTGACATGGTATCCAAGTGAACTAAAATTTAGTTCCCATTATCTATATAGTTAACGTTAACTATGTGAAACCTATTATAATATTATTTAATATTAATAAAATATTTTAAATATTCCAACAACATTAAAGTAAGGGTATGATATTTGAAAATAGTAACGGTCATATTATCATTTTTTTACCTTTTATAAATTTTATAAAAATTTTAATTTTTTTTACACACAGTTTTACTTTTAAAATTTTTTTCTTTCAATTTCCAATCTTATTTATTTATCAAATGGATCTCAACCAATCGAATCCTTATTATAATTATATTCGTATGAAAATGTAATTTTTTTTATGTATTATTATTGTGAATTTTGTATCATTTTTAATTTTATAATAAAATATATTTAATATTATTTTTAAGTTTTTAATGTAAATTTATTTAAAAAATTAGATGTATTTAAATTAAAATAATTAAATTAATGGTAACTTAAATAAAAAATATAAAATGTGGGGTCAAGTTTTGGTTTCTTATAGACAACCACCATTAAAGTAAAAACTACTCAAATCAACTATAAATTTTTTAAATCCTACAAATCACTTTGGGCTCACAAAAAATATCTTAGTTTACCCATTTAATTTACTCCGACTAAAGATGCTCTTATTGGAGGAGTCAGCATTACTCTAAACAAAATTTCCGGGTTCTAGAATTATCGTTTGTATAACTAACGGCGTCACTGCAAAGCCAACCCAAAACCCTACTTGAACCTCATTCCCTACAATTTCATCGCTTTCACAACCATGTCTCTCAGAATTCTCCGATCTCGATTCTCCTCCGTAGCTTCATCTTCATCGAAGCGATTCCTCTCAATAAATGCAGCTCCTCAACCTCCTCCTTCTTCCGCCACTTCCCCTAACCGCTGGAACTTCCTCAAATATGCTGTCATCGGTGCTTTCACCGCAACCACTGTTTTTACCGGCTACGCGTCTTACGGTTTGTATTTTTCTTGTTCTTAGTTTACATTAGTCATCAATTTGCAGCCATTCATTCTTGCGCATGAAATTTATTGATCTGTAAATGATGATTTTCTAGATGTAGACGAGGAATTGATTTTCTTTTTGTTTTTCATTATTGTTTGAATGCAATGTACAGCTTATAGTGCGGACGAAATAGATGAGAAAACAAAGTTGTTTCGTCAATCAGCTAAGAACACTCCAGCTGATGGAGCTACGGCTCTCGATGTGAGTTCTGCTAACTGTTTCTCAATCTTTCATTATATTCAATCTTTGCAATTTTTCTATCTGAACTTATTTTTCTGGCATGAATTGTTGTTTAAACTCTGAATAATGAATTACTTTTTGTTTGATGAGAATGCTATTTGAATGTTGTTATGTCGTGATTTCTGTGTATTTAACCTTATTGCTCCATTTTGTCAATTTATATTGTTGATATGGTATCTTTGGATATAACAAATTGATTTTGTGGTTTTCGATTGCTTGTATTATTAACTTTTAGTGATCTTCAATGTCTTTTTTTTTGTTGCTGTTTTGTTACTTGGAAGAGTCCTTTGTGTACCTTGCGATTGCTTTGTTTTGGAACTCTGCATGGTTTGGATGTGATGGATTAACATATATCCTTTGGTATAATATGTTAATAGGCCTCAACATTAGTAGGTTGACATTTCTTGATTTCATGCTTGCAGAAATTTCAAGGGCTGGTATACTCAACTGCAGTTACAGGTGATTTCCCTGTACATAACTTATCTTATATATCAGTGTCAAAAAAAACTTATCTTATATATCAGAAATGTTCTGCTCCTTTAAATATATAATTTATACTTTGAATTTCTACATGTGAGTTTCTCTTCCTTCGGATTCCTGGAATGTGTTTGTTACATGAAACAAATGGATGGGTTAATCACTATATCTTTTTGTGATTTTGTGAAGTGCTTTTAGCTATGCATAAGCAATATTTCTCTTAAATTGGTTCATCAACCAAACATAACATGCAGTAGGGGTCCAATGGAGAAATATCTGTTTGCATGAGTATTAGGTACCAAAAATGCTTTTATGATATTAAACCTAACAGTAATTTTTAAGTGTACCATAGGATCTGTACTCTGTACAAGCATATCAAGTTGATTTATCAAATAGAGGTGCCAAGGCTGCTATGGCAGATATACATAGCGGTTTTTGTGATCGCCAAAATGGTAAATATCGGCTGATATTGCGGGGATTTTCGCTATAACCACATAGCGGCCGGTATGGTGGGATTTTGGCTTATCACCCCTTTGCCGATCAAGACTGGCGTAAACTAATAGACATTGTATGCATTTTTTTGGGGGGAGGGGGTATTAAACTCCAAATTAGTTATATACATCTGTTTGTCATTTTTATGGCTTGCTAATTCTTCTGCATGCTATATCTCAGTGCCTGCTAAAGCAGTAGAGCTTTATTTGGACACAAGAAGGTTAATTGAAGAACAAATTAGGGTATGTACATACTTTTACGACTTTGGCCTTGTACGTTTTCCTTTTTGTCGGCTATTATTTTCCCACCTGTATTACACTCTTAATACTCTGGTCTTGCATTCTTCTAGAGTTATACAGAGCCATACACAGACAAGCTCCTTCCAGATTTGCTTCCTCAGGAGCAACATGTGTTCACACTTGTTCTAGATCTCAATGAAACATTGATTCACTACATTTGGACGGTAAGACTTTTACTGCAAATGCCCCATTTTTGTGGCTAGAGAATACGAATTTGTATCGGCAATTTCATTTCTATAATGTATGTCACACAAAATAGTTGGAGTTGATGCTTAACATGCCGCAGACATCTGACTTAAAATATATTGATTTATACTTTTTTTTTGGAATGTGAAGCGAGATACAGGCTGGCAGACTTTTAAAAGACCTGGAGTTGATGCGTTCTTAGAACATTTAGCTCAGTTCTATGAAATAGTAGTGTATACAGATGAACAAAATATGGTAATCTGGTTTTGTTTCTTTATTCTGAATGGATCCTTATCATTGTTATGACTTATGAGTATTCATATGCTTATGCTTTTGTTGATTTGTGCAGTTTGTAGACCCTGTTATAGAGAGGCTGGATCCCAAGCACTGCATTAGGTACAGGCTATCAAGGCCTGCTACTAAGTATAAGGATGGGAAACACTATAGAGTATGTCTGAGTTTATATTCATGTATTATTCTTTTCCAAATTATTTATATATACTCTTGTGGTAAGTGTAGAATCGAGTGTTGCTTATAATTAGAGAGAACATATGCCTTGGATTGTAACTTTTATTCATAATACAACTTACACCTAAAGAATATTATAACAGACCTGTAAATATTATTTACTTTGCTTTTTCCTGTCATTTTATTATGATACTACATAAAATGTGGCATCTTGAATACCATTAATGAAATGTTTCCCCTCTTGTCCTTCATTGGCAGGATATTACAAAACTAAACAGGGACCCTGCAAAAGTTATGTACTTAAGTGGCCATGCTCTTGAAAGTTGCTTACAACCTGAGAACTGTGTCCCTATTAAGCCATGGCTGCAGACTGATAAAGATGATACAGCTCTTGTGGATTTCATACCATTCCTTGAGTGTAAGTGAATTCCTCTTAAGATGTGTTTTAACGAATTCATGTTTGGAAGTATTGTGACATTTTATAGTTGATAATTATTGCATTACCCTCTCCATTATCCATATGCAGTTGTTGCCCGTAGTAGTCCGGCTGATATAAGACCAGTGCTACAGTCTTACCAAGGATCTGATATTCCAAGTGAATTCATCAGGCGTTCCAAAGAGCATATGAGGTAACATTCTAATTGTTTTTATTTTCTTAACTAATTTTTAAATTTTGGACAGTCAAAATTGTTTTTCTTATCAAAACTTTTGAAAACAAGAAACAAAACTAAAATCATGATAGTAACTACTATTAAAAATATTTTTAACCAAATTGAAGACAGAACAAACCACGCCCACCTGTCTGGTTAATTATTAGTTCACCCGTAAAAAAATAGTTTTTCATGAATTTGAGAATTTGCTATAGTCTGGGAATTGGATGCAAAAGTTATTGTAGGAAATAAAAAATGAGATTATGATCCATGAATTTGAGAATTTGCTATAGTCTGGGAATTCGATATATATAATATAACCTGCACCTTCACCCCATTGCCAATCATTTAATTGATACTAAACAGTATTTATCCTGTTTTATTTCCACTAACATTTTTACTGTGGGTGCTTTCCAAATGATGCAGGAAAACACAAGGACAGAAACGTTTCTGGAAATGATCCAATAACAATACTGAGTTAGATGACCCTAAAGAAAGAGTGATTGTTAGTTTCATGATAATTCCGTTACTATATGTTTTTTGCCGTTACCATATCATTTTTTGGCCTACATAAATTCCGGTACTATATGTTTGTGCTGTTTTTAGCCTGATAGAAGTGCATGGATTATAAATCAAACCAAACCACATATATGGTTTGGTTTGGATCTTAAAACCATTTAATATAAAATTGATTTATTTTTTTAAAACAGTTTTACAAGTAGGTTTGATTTGGATCTTAAAACCATTTAATATATATATAATAAATAAAACTTTTATATATATATAAAAGTTTTATTTATTATATATACATTATTTTAATTATCATTTATGATCATGAAACAAAAAAAGACAAAGAGTTTGAAAAATTGATTAATCATGGTTTTAAAAAGTGGACATGGATTAGTTTTTAAACCAAATAATATGGAATTTTCGGTGTACCATATTTTTAAATTTGGTTCTTGTGAACCGGTTTTTTTGCACACCTAGATAGAAGTATTTGTTCTTTGTTCATGATGTCGCCAATGTTTCAGGCAAGGCTGCATTCTTGAATTTCCGTTTAGGATTCCTCAGGACTCATCATGTTTGAGTTTCAATTATTGGACATCTGCAAATCCATATTTTCTCTACAATTGGACATCTGCAAATCCATATTTTCTCTACAAACACAGTTTGAAATGAAAGCAAAGAGTGATCTGATTTTGCAAAATTAACATATTCTATTTCTAAAATGGCAAAGCAGAGAACAAATTTAGAGAGTTAAAACTAAAATTTTGAGATTTTATTACTACATGGGTCAAAGCATGACTTAGAGATGGGGCGCAAAGCTTGTCTCTGGACTTCTTATTTTATTTTTGATGGGAATTGTTTAAAAAGTTTAAGAAATTCAAGTTTTTTTACTATCACTGTCCATTTCTGGTCTCTCTTTTCGCCTTTCACCTATTCTGGTATTGTAATTTAGCATGTTTGAGCATGTAGAAGGTGAATTACGAGATACTATCAATTATGATGAAATATGAGTTCTATAAATCTACTTGTCCCCCAAAAAAGAAGATAAATCTTTAGTAGAAATTATAACAATATGAAATTTAGATATTATGTTGTTTTCTTTCTGGATATTATGAGTATTCCTCTCATCCTTACAAATTACAATATCACTTGATAATGTGCCAAGGCAAGCACTCTCTAGTACCACAATCCACAAATGAAATGCTACATAGTGATGAAACATAGACTGGAGATGACACTTAAACGACAGCCTCTTGAGTGTCACATCACTCAAAGCTCCATTGAATTGTAACGAAATATTATTGAGATTCATGTCTATTATACAGAACTGGAAAATGATTGTTTTCTGCACTTGATCTTATGTTATAATTCTGGCAAAGAGTTCATATGAAATCTGTCTAAGGTAAAATCTGAGAAGAAAGGTTTGATGTTGATGAGGTTTATTGAAAATACGCCATGAAAAATACGCCATTAAATGATTTGTTAATTTTTGTTTCACCCAAAGTTACTTAAAACCCTTGGAGAGAATATATTAACATTTTACATGACTTACTTTATCCCTTGTCAAATCTCTAAAACTTATGTCAATATGCTTCCTTTTGCCATAAGAGATTGCATTATTGGATAACTTTACATGATAGCTATTGTAACAAGTAACTTATGTCAATATGCTTCCTTTTGCCATAAGAGATTGCATTATTGGATAACTTTACATGATAGCTATTGTAACAAGTAATTAGAGTGTAATTAGAGTACTTATCCTCTTAACCCGTCTCATCCAAACACATTGACATGCACAATATGCAGTTCCTATGTATTCAGCCGCTATAGTAGATAATGGCTATAGTAGATAATGTCACTGCAAGTTGTTTTTTTTAAAACCAAGAAACAACTCTAAAACTAAGTAAGAAAACAAAAAAACAAAGCCAGATCATCTATATCACCAGCAAAATCGTTGTTAGCATAAGGAAAACTATTGTAACAAGTAATTAGAGTGTAATTAAAGTACTTATCCTCTTTACCCGTCTTATCCAAACACATTGACACACTTAAGATGCAGTTCCTATGTATTCAGTTTGTTATGTATTCAGCCGCTATAGTAGACAATGTTACTACATGTTGTTTTTTTGAAAACCAAGAAACAACTCTAAAACTAAGTAAGATAACAAATCCAGATCATCTAGATTACCAACAAAATCGTTGTTAGCATAAGCCACAAGATTCGTGCAACATTATTTTTTATAAAAATACTCAAGTTCAATGGTACCTTTTAAATACCTTAGTATTCTTTTTGCTGTAAGACAATGAGATTCAGTCGGACAAGATATGAATCTACTAATAAGACTCACTCCATATATCAAATTCGACAATTGTTGCTCACTACAACAATGGGTATATATTTTTTGTCTTCATAGGGACATGTGTTTTTGAAGACCATTCAATAGTTTTTGTTCTGGCCCGCTCATACGGTCCAATAACAACAACCTAGAAGGAAAAAAAAATCCACATAGTCAAGCAAGAGACATGTGTACTATATTGGGTAAGGAAGTAGATAATCTCAACCCAAAGTTCAATTGAAGGGATTCTCGTATCTCGCGCCAATAGATTGGCGAACTGTTATAATCGCCTTAATATATAAAGGGAGAACACGCCATTTCGCAGATAATTTAAATTCAAATTTTTTCACTTCATCTTACTCTCACACTAACTTAGGTGTTGTAGTGCTAACTTTGCAGGTCAACCCTTCATCCACTGTAGTGGAAGCTTGAGTTCACTGTTGCGATCTACATCTATCATTCAACAATCAATTCTAGTTCCCGCGTAGAACATTGGCGTCGTCTATGGGAATCAACATCTGATTCCTGTATTTTTTCACATTAGAACATTCTTATATCGATTCACTGAATTGAAGCTTCCTTGACCTAGAAATTCAAATCTTATGAATTTAAATTGTAGATATTTGTTCTTGATCCTTTTTGATTGAATAATAATAATATTGTTTCTCAGATTTCCTGCCAGATCCATTATCAATGGCAGGTTTCAGAGCTACTCGCTCTGTTGCACAACGTGAATCACAGCAGTCGCCGTTGCTCGAGCCGTCAAAGATTCACTACCTCTTCTTCAAAACGGTAGCAATCAAGTCCTCGAGGATTCTTCATCTGCTCTGCCATCTAAAGATCTTGTCTAACCTAGGAGATCTTAAGGATTTTTTCAATCACTTTCATTCTTAGGATCTGTTCTGCAGTTTCAACACGGCGAACCATCGTCCATGCCTCTAGTGCTGCTGACGATACCTGGACTGAAAGTTCTCCCTTGCTTCTAACTATTGCAATCTAACCTCAACGTATAATGTGCTAAATGAATTGTTTCATAATCTCTTCATGAATTTTACATAGTTGTGTTGAGTCATCTTCATGAATTGGTTCATAGTCTCTTCTAGAAAAGATGACTCCCTTGGTGGTTGATCTTAAAAAGCTTCTTGATTAAAATTTTGACATTGATTATTACTCCATTTAATATTTGGGTGATCTTCCTATCATGGATCATAGGTGTTGAAGTAAGGATCTGACTCTTGATAATTTTTGGCATAATGTGCTTTTGCATTGTATCCTTATGGTACAGAATGGCCATTGGCGTGACCTTCACCACAGAAATGACATCAAAATGTCTTAGTTGGATTAACATTTATTAGAACTAGAGTTATGGCGGTCAATTGCTTTGATAACTTTTCAAGTTGTTCTAACATAAAAAGTTGAAAATCAAGATCCATCATACATGTCTTAAATCAAAAAACAATATGCTAGACCCTTTACTTCACATACACAACAAAGATAACTTAATAGCACTAAACTGAATAAAAATTGAATAAGAGTATAAAATAAAAATAAAATAAAACACGAAAATTTAAAAAATAAAGAAATGCAGCACAAAAATTACTATGTCAAAATATTTCAACAATCCTCAACAACGGTGCCAAAAACTTGATGTCAATTTAGCAAGTGCATTAAACGTATCGAAGTAATGAATTTTTAAGTTTATATCCACATGGATTGTTTTTTAATAATACGATTAAAGTGTTATTCAAAGCAAAATTGGGAGCGTGTGCAATTGGTTTTGGTAAACAAGAAAAGTAAACGAATATTAGAAAGTATCAAATTAACAAACGATCAATAAGTTTTACTAAAAACCCCTAAGTATCACTGCTGACGAGTGTGTTTATTTACTATCGATTAATCTTGCATGCCTACGCTGAAGTAACATGACCGCTATACTCATTTTCTTAGTGTATAATTCACTAATTTAAACTACAACTTCCTAATTTAACAGGTGGGTCTGAAGATAAATTAGGCAACCACAAAGCATTAATTCAAGGTCACAACCTAGAATTGGTTATTCCTAAATCAATTAATAAGACGAACGATCACTCTATATTAGGCATATAGGGCTAGGACAATAATCACTATAATCCTAGGATTAATCCATGTACTCGTCAACACATAAAAAACAATGCACAAAAGAGTAACTGAATAAACATGCAATGTCAATTTAAGCAAATAATACAAAAAAAAGCACTTATATTTCTTGCAACTATATTTTCCTTTTATGTTGATTTTATTCCTCCTTTTGCTTGGCATTCCTTGTGCTAACAACGTTGGATTGTATTTGTTGGGTTCTCCAACTCTCTTTGTCCACTCAGTGCTTCAGACGTCAACTTTGTGTAGAAACTCGTGTCTCAAAAAACCTCCCTCAAAAAGTTGTGTTTCATCAATTTTAACAGGTTAAAAATTGTCTTGGGTCGTGCCATGATGCCTTTTGGTCGTGGCAGAATATGCTAAAAATTGTGTTCATCGTGGCACGATGTGCAATAATTTTTCAAGGGGCTATTTGCACTATTTTGCTCATATTTCGTCATATTTCTTCCTTTCTCTTGTTTCTTCTTTTTATTTGTATTTT